GGAGAGAGGCATTCTAGGGTGAGAGTTTCTAAGGGGACCCCCCAAGGGTCAATTAAGAAAATGTCTGTCCTGCCAGTGTGGCTCAGTGGTTGAGTGTCGACCTAGGAACTGAGAGGTCATGGGTTCAAGTCCCGGTCAGGGCACATGCCAGGGTTGCAGGCTCCTCGATCCCCAGCAGGGGGCGTGCAGGAGGTGGCTGATCAATGACTCTCATCGGATGTTTCTCTCTCTCCCTCCCTCTCTCTAAAATCAGTAAAAATGTATTTTAAAGAACAAACAAGTTTCTTCCATTAAGAAAAACCACGTGTGAGGAGGGGTGACCATTGTATTTAATTTTTTTAAAAATTGATTTTAGAGGAGAGGGAGAGAGAGAGGCGTGGATTGTCGTTCCACTTACTTATGTGTCATTGGCTGCCTCTTGTATGGGCCCTGAGTGGAGATCAAACCAGACACGGTGGCGTCTGGGGGGCTGAGCGATGGGCCAGGGGGACCATCGTGGGTTTAAAACACAGGAGTCGTGGTGGGTGGGGGCAGGGCTCAGAGAAGGTGTAAGGGGAGATCAGGCGGNGGGGGGCTGAGCGATGGGCCAGGGGGACCATCGTGGGTTTAAAACACAGGAGTCGTGGTGGGTGGGGGCAGGGCTCAGAGAAGGTGTAAGGGGAGATCGCCGCGTAAGGGATGCAGACAGACTCAAGGGGCCGGTGGGTGGAGGTGTGCGGGGTGCCTGTTTTTAGTGGGGTTTTTTGTCCAAGAAGGGAGAGTCCCCAGCACCTTAAGTAGGTGAGAGGTGGGTCGTCAACAGGTTTCTCTGTGGCCGGGTCCAGGAAGAACACGGAATCTCTGACCATAGGGACGGTCCATTTGGTTCCCCACGGTCCCTCCAGTGCCCGGCACCAAGGAGGCGCCGGGAACCATCTGTGGAATGAAAGAGTGAGTGAGTGAATGGGAAGTCCTCACGGGTGTCCAGGCGAGGGGTGTCCAGGTGGGGGCTGTCCAGGCGAGGGGTGTCCAGGTGGGGGCGTCCAGGCGAGGGGTGTCCAGGCGAGGGGTGTCCAGGTGAGGACTGGCCAGGTGAGGATTGTCCAGGCGAGAGCTGTCCAGGTGAGGATTGTCCAGGTAAGGATTGTCCAGGCAAGAGCTGTCCAGGTGAGGGTTGTCCAGGCGAGGGCTGTCCAGGTGAGGATTGTCCAGGTGAGGATTGTCCAGGCGAGGAGCGGCTTGGCAGGGAGGAGATGGGGAAGGGGAGGGAGGTGGGGGGGGATGGCCAAGGACCGGGCTTGGCAGGGTGTCCGAGATGAGGGGCTGCAGACCTGGAGCCCAGGTGCGGTCCTGCTACCCCCTCGCAGGTGCGGGTCGGTGGACGCAGCCGGTAAGGGGTGGGCTCCCCAGGAAAACTCAGTCCCCCATATAGGGGAGGGGGCCTAGGGGGCAGGTCCCCGAGGGCGCGGGCGGAGGGGCGCGGACGGCGC